CTGCGTATATTCTGTTGGAGCTATTCTAAACCTACCCTGGAATAGCTTTAGTCCGTTTTCATGAACTCAAGAGCCATTAGCAACTGCAGCACCCTGGGCTTGTTCCTGAGTCCATCTTTCAGTTTAGCTTCATCCAAAAGGAATAACACTGTCCTTGTCCTTCTCCAGTCCCAAAAGTCATCGACATAGGACTGCAGCACCTTCTGGTTATTAAAATATTCCTATTCTTCTGGAATACCTTGGTTGTTGAAGAAAAGCCAGACAAAAGTCTGGAGAAACAGAATCTGCTGGGATATAACCCAGTAAACACAGGCTTTTTTTGGTCAAAACACTTCCCTGATTTATTTAGTTTACTAGGCATCACACAAAGAAGTGCAATAGCAGTGCACAGGGACACTGGGGATAGGAAGAAGCATCTGGAAAGGAGGAGATGGGGGAGGAAGACTGGTTTTATCATTGACAGTATTACCTTAAGAAACATTAACTACTGCTAAATGCAGAAAAAAAGTGCTTTGGAGACTTCAATACCCTTAAACACGTACGTTGCTGACTTTTCAGTAGTAACATCCACATCTGTCTTTGCAGGTTGTGGAAAGTTTCCCCTGCTCACATACACACACAGAGCACTAGTTTTGGTGTATTCATGAACAAAGGTTCTGTCATCTCCTGTTCTGCAGTGACCAATGTGTCGCCATTTTTTCATCTCTTCTTTCATCACTTTCTTAATGAATTCTGATCCTTACCCTAACTGCAAACAACTCTCTAATCAGATATTCACTCACTCAAAATTGCAAGAGCCCATTGACTTAAAGACATGCATTTCATCTGCATTAGCATGCAAGCCTATTTTAGAAATATTACATACAAGAATTTCTAAAAAGGTCTCAGAATATGATGCTAAGATATAAAACCTACAAGGCTGCATATGCATACATGCAATTTATGTTAAATGATGTTTTCCAGTATTGCAGCATCAATACTGTTTTATTAGATTATCCTGTTGTCTCTTCTCATTAGGTAACCTGTCAGTACTATCTTTTTCACAAAGAATAATCCCCTGCAACAGTGGATACAACACAATCTTACTGAGAGTAGCAGCTGCAGTGTTCTGATGGCCTCCTCGCCATGGAGCCCCACCTGCTCAGTCTTACAGCATATCTTTGCTCAGCAACTCCTGAGAACTGCCTCCCATTTGAAAGAAAGGAGGCTCACGTGTGAGGAGCTCTGTTCAGTTCACTATGTTAAAGTAATATACTGCACCTGCCAGAAAGGATTCTGTTGTGCTTACTCTCTGTTGTTGTAATGCCTTCTTCCTTCAAAGTCTCCCTTCCGGCTTAAAGATCTTGGTAAAAAAAGATTTCCTTCAATAACTGCACTGCAGTAAATCAAAATAATTAAGTCAACAGTGATTTAATTTAGGAATCTATTACTTGGTATGTTACTAAACATTTTTGTGATTGTATTATATCTCCTAGATTAGATGACTCATCCTAGTACAGACATAAGTACAGTGTAAATGTGCACTTTCAACTGGAAATTGAGGAAATACACTCAAAGTTGAACCTATCACTAGATCTTGGATTGAGAAAAAAATATCCCACCTAGGCTACACTGTCAGCAAATACTGAGAATTATAGCCATGTGAAACTACTTTAATTTTAAGTCCTGGCTAACTGTAAGACCAGATCAATGATACCACCTGACATTATCCAGAACGCATGAGATCTGTAAGGAGCTGAATTACTCATGTTGTGGTACACTGTACCTAGAATGCTTCTCACAGCACTTCCACTTAAAAACAACCCTTTCCTCAAAGATATTATACAAAGGTATTAGTGAAACATAAACAGCTTTTGGAAAACTAAAACAGGGACAGAGAATAGACAAATATGTGTATGGATGGGTGTCTGCACAACAGGAAAGGCAAGTTACGAGACAGAAAAAAGGGAAGAGAGAAGGCACAGATCATTAAGGACTAGTAACAAAAATAGCAAGTAGACTAAAAAAATAAATCCAGAAAATGTGATAAGAAAATAAGTTTGAACAAAAATGACTAGATGTTGAACTTTAGTCAGACCTATTTCTCTAAGAATATCTTGTGGGAACACTCATACGATGGGCTATTTTCAGGCCTCCCTCTAAACCAATTGAGGTCACATTCAATTTTCAAATTAATTCTCTTCTGGCATTTCTTATCTTTTGACTCAGCAATCATCTTTTTTAAAATCAGTCTGTTCAGAGTAATAAATGGTAAACAACAAAAATCATCTGGCATAATGAATTATAAGGCCTTTCACCAAAGATCATCCCTGGAGTCAGAAGAGAGAATATTTTAATTCACAGCAATAAGCTTTATCGCTTGAGGTACAAGACTAGGCAGCTGCAGCAGAGGATGACTCCTCTCTTACGGTGAGGCCTCACCAGGGCAGTGTAGAGGGGAAGGAGAACCTCCCTCGACCTACTGGCCGCACACCTCCTAAAGCATCCCAGGATCCCATTGGCTTTCTTGGCAGCCAGGGCACACTGCTGGCTCATGGTTAACCTGTCGTCCACCAGGACACCCAGGTCCCTCTCCGCAGAGCTGCTCTCCAGCAGGTCCATCCCAAGCCTGTACTGGTGCATGAGGTTGTTCCTCCCCAGGTGCAGGTCCCTGCATTTGCCTTTGTTAAACCTCATCAGGTTCCTCTCTGCCCAACTTTCCAGCCTATCCAGGTCACGCTGAATGGTAGCACAGCCTTCCGGTGTGTCTACCACACCTCCCAGTTTGGTGTCATCAGCAAACTTGCTGAGGGTACATTCTAACTCTTCATCCAGGTCGTTGGATGAAGACCATTTCACCCATTCTTCTTGTTTTCCCCAATAGCTTACTCAAGGTCCATGCCCACCTCTACCCTCTCTCCTGTATACAAGTGCCCTGACCCAAGCCCCAGCGTTCACCCCACTGGTGTTACAGAATCCTCCGAGTTGTTGAATGGAAACTTGGGCCTCAACATCTCTACGTAGAGAGAGGATGATGGTGTGCTCTCTGCCACTGCCAGTGGATATTTCTTTGCTTCTCCAGAATATTTTCTCAGATGCTAAATGTGCAGCATTCCTTATAAATAAAAACTGTTACATTAATTTTAAACTAATTTAAATTTATCAAAATTACAGTTCAGAAGGTTTACAGACTTAGCTGTTTCCAAACTAGTACAACTGTTCTAGGCATCCATAGCTGTAATGGTACCCAGTCATCCACCTCTGGATACTTCTTCACAGAAATGTCCAAGGGGGCACAGAAGTAACCATTACTGGAAGCAGTACATCCAAATGAACTGGCACTCTGCTCACACTGTTAAACCTTACATCTCAACAGAGTGCCCACTAATGAAGCTGCAAAGCTTCTGATATCCCAGGTAGCTCATTCAGAATGGGCTCTGCTGCTTCTGCAGAGCACTGCATGCACTTCCTTGCCCAGAGCTCCACATCTGGGCCTAACATGCAAGAGGCTTCCTACCTTGTGGGGGCAACTGGAATTTGGACAGCTTTGTGGACTGAAGTGAATGTGTAAATGGCCATTTTCAGAGCTTAAGATTACACCAGATCTTGCTGGAGAGAAGTCAGACTGAAAAAGATACCTTTCTAACACCAAAAAAAGCACCTGTCAAATATTATATTTCTAATCCAAAGCAGAAAGAGCTTTAGAGTTCACAACAGCATTTGGGTATTGGCAAAGTCACTTCTCTCCTCCACTAATCTTGTTCTCAGCAAGACATCAATTGTTTACACTCAAACCTCAAAGAAAGCCATTTTGAGGTACATGACTAAATCTGGTGATGATACCAAATTATACGGGATAAAACGGATGAGGATGAATGGTGACAAACTCAATACGGGCATGATGAGACGAAATGACATGGCAAAAAAAAGGACAAATGAAGTTCAGTGTAAGTATATTTAAAATGATGAAATCCTTATGTCCTATATCCTTAGACTGGATATAAGGAAGAATCCTTTTACAATGAGGGTGGTGACACTGGAACGGGTTGCCCAGAGAGGCAGTGGAGGCTCCATCCCTAGAAACATTCAAGGTCAGGTTGGATGGGGCTCTGAGCAACCTGATCTAGCTGAAGATATCCCTGCTCATTACAGGGGGGTTGGACCTATGTGACCTTTAAAGGTCCCTTCTAACCCATACCATGCTATCATTGTGTGATTCTGTATGCAGCCATAATTTGTGAACATGATTACAACTTCCTAAATGCAATGACTGGTAATGGTCTGTTCAAAGGAACTCAGGAGTGAAATCTTGAGGCCACACTCAATGCTAGAGAGAGGATAGAAAAGGAAGTTCCACGTGAGGAGATATTAGGATGGCACAGAGAACAAAACAGAGAATTTCACTGTGATATTATACACACTGAAGTTCTCTCTAGCACTCAAAAAACATCCAGAGGCAGCTAGTAAGGATGATTAAATACAAAACAATTTTCATAGTGAGAGATACTATGTCAACTAGTATTCTTCAATTTGGAAGAGACACCTCAGGAATGCATGATAGTTGCTTATTGATTCTTGATTGATGCTGAAAAGAACACGAGAACAGGAATCTTTCAACAGATAAAGTAGGGGACACCAAATTAAATTAAGAGGAAGCGGGTTCCAAATAAACAAAAGGAAGTGGTTCTTCAAATACAAAGATAAACGGTGTAATTCCTCACCACAGGATATTGCAGATGCTTAAAGTTTACATGAACTCAAGGGAAAACTGCACTCACTAATGGGAGAGAAGTCCATTGAAGGCTACTAAATTCACTGAAAACACATCTGGCTGAGATCACAGTCTCAAATGATTGGAGGCTGGAAGAGTACATGGGGAGAAGCACTGTACTTGCTTACTTTGTCCTTGTGCTTCTCCCTGGGCACCACTTCTGGCTATCATTAGAAGCAGGATGCTGAGCCTGATGAACCTTTAATCTGACCAAATGGGTATGCGTAAGTAAATTAAACGGTGATACAGCTTAGGACCTGGAACTTGGTCATCTGTATCATTAAATTGATAGACCCCAGCTGTGAAGGTCTCTTGCAGATATTTCAATGAGTCTAATTAGCATTTCCCCATATAATTCCCAGGCACAGTTCAAACGTTAGCATAGGCTAGGGACTATTCCCTACAGGCAGTTTTGATTAAGCCTGTTTCAAAGAGCAAGAGAGTTAAACAGTACGAAGATGGCCAGATCAAGCCGAATACCACTGAATTACAGGATAAGCCCTGGAAATATTTAGCTTACTAGGCTAAATGCCAATGTGACTGCTTTTACTACAGGTAGAGACTTCCTGTAGAATAAACAATATGTTTTTCCTCCTCCCTTAGAATATCTGTGTACTGGTGTCTCTCTGTGATCATGTACGATCTGCTAATAATCAAAAATATGCTGTCAAATAAAAATACTTACATGCCCATGCATTGAGCTGGCTGACTGGTAAACAACATTTAACCTTACATGACTTAATGAAAAAAGTTCTAAAATGCTACCCACAATGTCAGAGCAGAACAATTGTACAAGCGAAGAAAAACATGCCCCCCAATTCCAAAACTTAAAAAGTGCAAATAGGTGACTAAATAGTTACAAGATGAGAAAGAAAAAACACTAATGCTTCCCTATATAGTATTAGCAAACAAGCGTGAAAAAATTCAGTTCACATTTACATCCAGCTGGTAAAGCATCTATTCTTGACTGCATGAGACAGGATTTAAAGGACTTCAGAAAATCTTCCCCTCGCTCCAAGAAAGCATCTGTATGGAAGATTAGCACAGGTAAGGAGCCATATTTTCAGCACAGTGGCACTGACTCCAGCCCCATCCAAACAAACTAGGGAATTTGACCCTTAGTCTACAATGCAAACTGTACTTTCTTCCATTACTCAAAAAAAAAAAAAAATTCAGACTAACAGCTCTGTTTATGCATTGGCCACAGTTACAGTAAGATTTGAGGTTTACTGAATTTACTCTTCTAACCTTTTGTTCACACTGTAACATTTCTAGCAGAATCTACATCTGACAAATAGAAGTGCTGTACTAATACACAGGAGGGTTACTAACTTCTTCTCTTAATTGTAATTTTTTAGTATTTTTAATCACAGACCTTGTGAGGTCCATGATTGTCTTCCATCCATGAGTAATAGCTTCTAATTTTCAAGTAGACTGGAAGCTCCCCCAGTACTTGAGCTGTCTTATGTGGACCGGTTTCATCACTGAGATTTATGGTACAGACATAAAAATATTAGGAAGACTAAATAATAACGAACATCACCTAGGATCTTAGAACGGAAAGGTGATTCCTTCTTCATTTACTTAGACTTATTTAAGTCAAGTATACTGAAAACTGTGAAATAAAAGACTACACCTGGGAACACACTGGAAGTTTACAGCCTTGTGTGTTCTGAATGGATGGAAAATAGACAGAGGAGTATTTTATTAGGTGTGATAGGATGAAGTAGAAAATGTTGAACCTCCGGGAAAACTTCTTGACACTAAGATCTATTAGGAATTTTCTTCTAAAGGAAATAGAGGAAGCCCTATTTCCTGGCATAATTCAAATTGTACTTCACAAAACAGTAAATATATACAAAGAACATCCTGCGTTTAAAAGAAAACGAAGCAGATGACAATGTTTTCTACATTCAGGCTGGACAAGCCCCAGTCTCTTTCTCTCTTCTCACACAGGCAAAAGCACGATCAAAACATACAAAAAGTAAAGATAAAAGGAAGAAACTTTGGAAACAATGAATTACTATCATTACGGTTTTACTCTGAAAGTTTCCCTTAGTAAAATACATGTAACTTTTTTATTTACATCATTTTACGGAGAAATATCAATCAAAAAGTTACAGTAAAATAATGACTTTACCTAAGGTCAATTGTTCACAAGTGCATATCACAGCACATATACTGCTGCATAACTCAGCTTTAATGACATCCACTTTTAAAATCCTCTATCTCGAGTGCAAGATAGGAGGGGAATATATATATGACAGGAGAGGTGCCCGAGGACTGGAGAAAGGCCAATGTCACTCCAATCTTCAAAAAGGGCAAGAAGGAGGACCCAGGGAACTACAGGCCGGTCAGCCTCACCTCCATCCCGGGAAAGGTGATGGAGCAGCTTATCCTGGAGGCCATCATCAAGCAAGTGGAAGAAAAGAAGGTTATCAGGAGTAGTCAGCATGGATTCACCAAGGGAAAATCATGCCTGACCAATCTAATAGCCTTCTAC